CTCCTTGACACATGGTGCAATCCGGAAGGGACCATGGGTGGATCAGTGCAGTTGCTCCTGCCATGGTCTGTCATCCTAGCAAAGGAATATGGGTGGGTCTTGGGTTTCACTCACTCTTTTCTGCTCCCTGAACTCAGAGGSTACAGAGACAATCCTGCATCCTGGAGCAGTTATAGGGCTTCCCTCTCCAGGGTCTTTTTTCTTTACCTGGTCTGTAAACACTGTCTTCATCTAGATTCAATTCTTGAAGTTCTTTGGGGTAAAAGRTTTTTGAATAGCCCTGTGACAGTAGTCTTTTAAGTCTTACCTCTTCAAATTATTGCCCTTACTGTGAAAATTTCATCCACTAATGTCTCCTAATTCCCTTCTATGGACTTCTTCTTTGTTCTAAATATCCTCATCCTGATGCGTGCTTTTTGAGCAGAGACAGAGTCTCTTAAATTTATAAGAAATTTCATTCACTTTTAAAAGGCTTTAAACTCCTGTGGACAGAGGCAAGACTTCCTGTCCTAAAGGCACTCAGTCTACCTCCAGTCTAAACCAGGTGGGGCTTTAACTAGAAGCATAGGGAATGGTGTTCTGGGAGAAAGACCATGAGGCTTACTTCCAGTTGCAAAGCCTAAGACAAGCCTTWACACCAGAAGTAGAAGTGCAGGGTCACTGTCACAGTTTTTTGAATAAAAGTTGTCTCTTATCTACACCATTCATCCCATGGTCATGAGGAGGTGAGGTGGTGTGATACTCTACTGGGTGACACACAGTTTGCCTGAACAGATGTGAAAGTGGATAATGATGATTACTGATCCTCAAACACGTCACACACAGATCAGAGCTTCAGCCCCACCAGTCGTATACCGGTAGGAACAGGTCCCTAATTCTAACTGGTTGACATGCTAAGTCTATGGATTACCGCTTCCATGATTTGCAGTTCTTGGGCTTCAGCTCCTACATGGTATCAGATGACTACATGTGGTGCTGCTCCCAAAGGACTATCATTTTAACAATTTAATACCTTTCATATTCAATCATTGATATAAGATAGCAATGGCTCTTCTAATCACACGGCCTGAGGCCAAACATCTTTAACTTCCTCCATCCCAGAGGYAAATTAATAGTTCCCACCAGAGTTTCTATAACCCTTCAGCCCCGCATCCAAGTAATGTACAAGAGAAGAAACATTACCTGTGTTACCAGCTCATACTGGATTCATCCAGTCATTTCAAACTTGGCAGATGTTATCACAGCTTATTTGTCTAGACAATTCTTCCAGGTACGCTAAACTCAGCAGAACTTACCATATAGAGAGGTTCTTGTTTAACGGCTTATGAGTTGATGAGTTGTGTGGAAAGTAGAAAAATATCTAATGGTTATAAAGCATTTGTTGAGTAAATACCCAGTCCTTGATTTTTAATAATCTTTTAAGTTAGGGTTTTTCCCCCAGGCTTGTCTTTGAAATTATGTTGTAGGTACTTCCAGAAGATCAGGTCTGAACAGTCAGGAGAAGTTTTTCTTGTCCCAGATGGGTGTTTYTCTTCTTCACTGACTGCCTCTGTGAGCTCATTCTACTCTGGAATGGTTTCACTTGCATCATCTCCACAGAGCCATTTTAATGCCTCACAAAGTGGACCTGTATGTAAATATTTATTTAGATATTTATTTAGACATTTATTTGATTTTTCTGTAAGGTCATTCATGGATTCTGATCACTCAGTTGGGCAAGTTGGTTTTTTTCCTGAGGTTTGTGCCATGTTTTTCCATGCATATATCTATCTCAACAATGATAGCAACACCCTCATCAAACAAGGACATCTTCKAAGAGGTTGTCATTTAAGAAATGTCCTTCCCACCATCATGTGAAACCTACCTGGCTTGATGATATCTTAAAGGAAGGAAAGTCACTGCTCATTAGTAGGGAGTATACCACCTCTGGTATTCCTCTATCAAATAAAAAGAGCTTGCAGCCAAAAAAAAAAAAAAATCTATAGTTTTCATCTATTGAAACTTGCTCTGTGAAAAAAAAATGAACAGCTGTATCAGCCTCCAGACCAAWAGCCTAGGCAATTAAAACAAGCATGGACAGCATCTTGCTTCCAGACTGATCCCTCAGTTCTCTTAGATTCTTGGGTGGCAGMAGAAGGCAGAGTTTCTCAGCCACAGGCTGTCTGGGGATGAGAGTCAATTGYTTTCATATGTGTTACTCCAAATTTCTACGTAAGTGTGCATGTTATTCAGGAGTGCTGCRATCTGTGTAGTCACCTACCCACTTACCAACATTTGAGAAAAATCCATRCCAGGTCAAAAATGTAGTGAGAAATGGGAGTTTTTAGATTGAAACATCTTGATTTGCAGCTTAGTGCAGTCATCTAGGTGATAATGGAGAAGATTTGGAAGTTTGGGGTTGTTTGGTTCTTTCATTATATCCTAGAACTTAGGTTTGATTCACCCTCCCTGGGAAGAGCAGATTGAAGCTGCCAATGAACAAGTGGCAGAAACTATCTGAAGGAAAGTCAGGTTTGTGTTGCTGCTTCCACCACTCTGCTCTAACCATCCAAGCTCCTCAAAATACAGCCTTTTCTGACTGATGGTCTGAGATCTTTGTGAGAACTGCATGCTATCAGAGCCTCTGTACTCACTGGTAAACAAAAAAACTGAATGACTTGGACATAAAATTCATCCATTGTGTTCACTTCAAAACAGCAATACAAATGCAGGTTCTTTAGGTAGCATTTATCATGTGACACTCAAAAGGTCATAAGTGAAGKTATAAGTCTGTGCTTTAGATATGTATATACCACAGTCTTTGTACCATGACAAGCTCAGCTAGATAGACCAGACTGTAGAAGACTGATGATATTTGGAGACATATTTAGCTTAACTGTAAATGCCCTAGGCAAATTGACTTTGCTCATCTGTTAGGAATGAAATGAGCTGTACTCATTAGTGTGGGGTTCTTCCAGCCCAGATGTGCAAAGCACAGCAATCTGCTGTKCATCTGATCGGGGTATTACACAGTGAACAAAGTTCACTTAAAATGTTTCAGTATTCACGTTTGGCAAGTATCAGAGCTACTGATATCACATATCTTGAGCCTCTTTTTCACATGTGAATACTTCTTGTGTATAAGTTCCCCTTTTTTCAGAACACATAGGAAACATTCCCAGGAATCACCTGTAATCATGTCCCATGCAGAACTGAAAGAAATTGACTGATTTTAGCTTTATGAGGATTCATTTATCTTTATCATTGTCAACACGGTTTTATTTTTATTGTTACTGAAAGGACCAACTAGTCAAGTACAAGTTATGKTCAATTTATTTTAGGAAAAGCTGGTGAAAGTACGAGGGAGAAATGTACAGGATTCAGAAGGGAACACTGTCACAGATACATGCAGACACAGAGTCAACTATGTTCCAGGGACTGACTGGCCAGCTGGAAATGTTCTGGAGAGAATGGATTCTTGGAGCTGGTGGCATCTTGCAACTTCAGCTCAGCACGCACAGCAAGTCCCTGTGGCAGCTCCTGGCTGTGCCTTTTACAGCTTCTGGACTGCCAGGCCAAGACTTTGCTGGAAGGTTCTGGGGCCATTTCGATCTGTTCCCCACAGTCAGCCATTCATTCATATCCCAGGCAAACTYATTTTGGGGCTGGGAGACATGATCTTCTGATCAGTGTGTGCAAACCCTCCTTTGACTTCACCCCCTCCTTGGTCTCACTCATCCATGCTGTGGAGCTGCAAGATCTACCCAAGCCTACAAGGGAAATCACACCAGTGACCAAGTAACACATTGCAATAACAATAACAGACTCAAGCAATGGGAAAACTCATCACAGCAAATTGCCCCAAAGAGTTACAGGAGAAATGTGGTTTCAGATATGCCTCTAACCAGCCACAGGYTAGGGATTAGCTGCATTTGTGCCCAACATGAACAGAGGAAAACAGGCTGTGTGAGAAAAAAAAAAAAATATATCACCCATGTCCTCTCCCTCTCCCACTTGTCACTGTCAAAGTGCCTATTCATATCAGTACCCAGTTGCTGCTGACATTCTGGCAGCAACAACSTATTTCCCAGCTCTCCCAGCCTATTCAGCTGGGTTTCAGTCTCTCTGCCCATAGCTCCCTTGCTCCAGCCCAAACTACAGAAGAAGCTGCTGCAATTCTGTTTACCAGAAGTTCAACAATTTCCTTTTATTTGGCTCTAATCCCCTTWCCAGCCATCTGAGGACTGTTAGTGTTTGTTATCCATGTGGTTCATGTGGTTCTGAGACTTTAAAAAACATCTGAGAAATCTATTGCTCAGCAGATTTATCATGATAGTCAGCTGAAGGTCCCAGTAGGGCAAAGAAATTTCTCTAATGTGGGAATCTCTACTGACACATTGTTCTWTTGCTGTGGGTAAAGGCACTTTCACCAAGGCCAAATATATTCAATTTGTTCCATTGGGAAATGAAGAGTGTGTGTCCYTGTCATTTCCAGTATTATGCCTTTTCTCTAGGCAGTTTGCATGGTTCTCCTTGGGGATATCTAGATTGCTAATTCTCCTGTTCCCTTTTGCCACTTTCCCAGCACATCATTACAGTCTGGCACTTGTTCCTCTGTATTTGTTGGCCTGCCCAGCTCCCACCTCACAATACGCCTTCCCTTCCAGGTCCGTGCCCCGTTTTCACCTGCCGATCTTCTTCTTCCCCACCTTCCCCAGTATGTCCTTTCTGCTCCCAATTTCTTTGTCAAAGTCATACTTTAACGGTCTCTCTCCCACGATTTTCTATGCCGGCCTGGTGCTCTGCCCCAGCATCCCCCTTCTCCTGGCCCAACCCTACGCTTGTTGCCCGCAAGGGAGCTGGACACTAGGCACAGGCTGTAGCCCCAAGGCAGCGGGGAGCAGCGCTGCGCTCCCTGCGCTCGATGCGGCGGAGGAGGACCCGTCTGGCCGYGCTCATGACGGCACGGGGGGAGGGCGGCCCCGGCGAGCGGCTCGGCCGCGCCACCGCCCAKCGGGCGGCAGAGGCGGCTCCAACTCGCACCAGCGGCGGCGGCAGGGCCGGGGCAGCGAGAGCAGCCGGGACAGCGGGGACGCGGAGCCGCGGCCGGAGCTGGGCAGCGCGGTGCTGAAGGGACAGCTCCCGCCCCGCCCCGCCCCGCCCGGGCAGCCAGCGGGGACCACGGCGCCGCGCCCCGGGAGCGGGGCGGGGGGACCCGGCACCCGGCCCTCGCCTCTCGCCGCCGCCCTGCCCGGAGCGGCGGACGCAGGGACCCCGTTTTGCTTCGGCGGGAGCATCGCCCCGGGCCCCGCGCAGCGCCCGCTGCCGCCCGCCCGCCGCTCCGATGCCGGGCGTGGGGGCGATCGGGGCGCGGTGCAGRCACCGGCCGCGCAGGAGCCCCAGGAAAAGCCCCAAGGCGGAGCCCGGCCAGGCCGGGGCCGCCATGGACGCGGCTATCTGGATCTACCAGTTCCGGCTGATCGTGCTGGGCGACTCCACCGTGGGCAAGTCCTGCCTCTTGCACCGCTTCACCGAGGGCCGATTCCCGGGGCCACTGCACTCCGACCCCACCGTGGGGGTGGACTTCTTCTCCCGGCTGGTGGAGATCGAGCCCGGCAAGAGAGTCAAGCTGCAGCTCTGGGACACCGCGGGGCAGGAGCGGTTCAGGTACGGGACCTGGGATCTTTACCCACACCTCTTCCCACTTGCTCCCCTAAACCTGCCAGATGGCACACCCTGCTGCTATCCCGGCCCTGTACCCTCCTCATCTGACACACCTCCGACCCCAAGGACTTTGCCTTGTCCCCCAGCACATTTCCCTGCACCCATTTGGTTGCTGTGCCCCAAACAGTCCTCCACCCCATTGCCTGCCAGTGGTCCTAGCCCGGTAGCCTACTATCCTTCTTGCCCCATTGCCCACCACRTCCTTCCCAGAAGTTTCCTTCCCCATTCTTTCCCTTCACACACACCAGCTCACTCTCACTCCTCCCAGCTCACACTACAGGGTAACAAGTGGCCTTGTCCTATTTCTTYTTCCTCCTCTCATTTTTCCCCTGAAGTCCTGAACCTAACATAACAATCCCTCTTCCATGTTTTTTTTCTTTCTTTGCTGCAGGAGGCCTCTGCCTAACTCTGCATTTCTTACTTTGTCATCACCTCCAAACTCATCCTCCCCTGCAGTATTTCCCTCTGCCATTAAGTCTCCCATTMAATCTGGAGACCAGGCCACCACCCAGCTCTTCCTCCTTGAAGCACAGCAGCACTGTGTGCACCAGTGCAGCCGTGGCAGTGTGGAAGCCACTGGGCATACAGCTATAGTCCCTTACTAGTGTTTTATCTGCCTTTTGCACCTGCTGTGCACTGATGGTTGTCAGGAGTCTTCATTAATACCTCTATCATTTCTAATGTAGCTAAAGTAGCTCAAATGCTGCACTGAGTATTAAACACTCTTCTTTCTCTCTTCTGTTACACTTAGCAAAACTACCCTATTTTCCTCCCCCAGAAAAGTCACAATAATTCCSAAGTATACAAACTGATAATGTCAGTCACTCTTGTGTCTCTGTGGTACCTGTAGTGCTTGCCACTTCAGGTAAGCTGTGTATGGATTATAGTTTGGGCTTGGGTTTCCAGAGATACGAGCTCAGGGCRGGGCAAATGCATAGCCCATCTCTGTGTACCTGATGCACACACCTGTTGTTACTGAAATGGTAGCAGGAGGATTGAAATGGCCCTCTACACTGGCCAGAATCAATTCTTCTGTACTCCCTGTCTTCCGTCGCAACAGTTGTGCAGATTCCCACACCCAGCTGAAGAGGTACGACTGCCCTGTTTTACTGGAGGACAACAACTTTTTTTTCGCTATGATAAGCATTACAGGGAAACAACAAACARCTTTCCTGGGCTTGCAAGAGTCACAACTTCAGATGTATTTTTGCAGCTAGGCTTCTGAAGGGTTAGCAAAGAAATTAATGGTGTTAATGAAAAGCTCTTGGCATTTTTCACCGTCTTTGTGCTTTGCAGACAGAATGTAGAACACTTGTAAATAAGTGACTAAAAGTGTATAATCTCTTTATTTTGAATGTGCTGACAAATAGCCACAATGGCCAATGACAAGACACTGAAAGAAATGCAAATGTACAGAATTTTGCATACATCTAGAATCAAATTTTAACCATCCTTTAACCCTGGAATGCTCAGAGGATATACACTGATGAGTCATGCAGTCAGCTGCTCTTTAATTTACCATTAGTATATCTCTGTGKTTTTTTCTAATACTCAGAAGGTACAACCTGAAGAAAGTAGTTTTAAACATTTGTGTTTGGTTTTCGGCTATGAGTTTCTTGTCAATGTACTAAATATCATAATGTTTATTGTATAGTCTGTTTTACATTTAGTCAAATAAATTATAAGTATTTTGCTAAGTTAGAACACAGGTTAAAATGTTGCACATTCTGTTCTCTGCTTACGGAGAACACTGCAGATCAAAGCAAAGACAATCTTAGGAAAGGGCTAATTACTCCAAGAAGTTACCAAATTCTGGGGAACACCAAGCAGCTTGCAATTCTGATTGCCAATTCTGCTGTGGCTCGCTTGCATTGGGATTTCAGAGGAGGTAAAACCTGTCTTTATAGCTCCCTGCGGAGTTCCCTGCATGCAGGGCAAACTACTGGCTACATAATAACCCCCTTTTTTGTTCCCAGTCATTAGGGACGTTCCCAGAGGAAAAGTCAAGTGTGACACACCTGCCATCACACTCTCTTCAAGGATACCATGTACTTTCTTGGAGGAATTATTTGGGAGAAATTCTTACATGTCTCTAGTTCATTGATGATTCCATATGGAACTGTATTTCATGCACTGACTTAGAAATCATCTTTCATGTGCACTGACAGGCATTTACTGACTATATTTATTTTGACATCAGTAAGGCATCACTGAGCAGAATCTCTGATTGTTGAAGGTGCCAYGTGGATAACAATATTATCAGTAACACCTTTAACACCTTACTGGAACGAGAACCTGCAGACTTGCTTAGTATAGACTCAGGTTTAACGCAGATTAAYGTAAATGAAGGGTACACCCTCAGTTTCTTTCTATTTTCATATCAGTCATTTAGAACAATCTGCTACTTTGGCTGTGTTTTATGTCATCTACTTTACTATGATTTTTGTTCATTTGTTTTATTTTCCTATATTTAAATCAAATAATATATTTGAATCATGAACTCTCCAGTGCTACAAAATGCTTGGTAGTGGTGCTAAGACTAAGCATTCATTTCAATAGGGGCAAAATATTGTGGGGGTGCTTCCATTAACCCACTTTTTAGTAGACCAAGATATTAGATGCATTCTCCATCAAACATGTCTTGAAAATAAAATACTATCCTATTCTTTTTCAGTAAACAATACGTATTTTCAAAATCAATATCATTACCATGAAGACATTAGTCATAGTATAAAAATAACTCTTCAAAATTAGATAAAGCTTTTTAGTGAAAGTTTGGTTCATCTGGTAAAGATCAGTAAGATCATAATGAAAATGAAACACTGTGACTGATTTAAAGCCTCCCTTAAGCCATAATTTGATGTGATTACACAAAGAATCATAGACTTTGCTGAGCTGAAAGGCACCCACGAGGATCATCAAGTCCAACTCCTGGCCGTGTACAGGACGACCCCAAGAATCACACCATGTGCCCCAGCACATAGTCCACGTAGTTCTTGAACTCTGTCAGGCTGGTGCTGTGACCACTTCAGAGGAAGCCTGTTCCAGTGCCCAGCCACCCCCTGGGTGAAGAATCTTTTTCTAATATCCAAACTAAACTAACCGTGACTCAGCTTCAGACCCTTCCCTCGGGTCCTGTCACTGCTCACCACAGAGAAGAGATCAGTGCCTGCCCCCCTTCTTCCCCTCACAAGGAAGCTGTGGACTGCAAAGAGATCTCCCTTCAGTTTCCTCCAGGCTGAACACTCCAAGTGACCTCAGCCATTTCTCATTCAGCTTCCCCTCAAGGCCCTTCACCATCTTTGTTGCCCTCCTTTGGACACTCTCTAATTGCTTTATATCTTTCTTATATTGTGGCACCCAAAACTGCCCCCAGCACTTGAGGTGAGGCCACCCCAGGTCAGAGTAGAGCGGGACAATCCCCTCCCTTGTCCGGCTGCCGATGCTGTGCCTGATGCCCCCCAAGACACGCTTGGCCCTCCTGGCTGCCAGGGCACTGCTGGCTCATGTTCAACTTGTCATCAACCAGGACCCCCAGGTCCCTTTCCCCAGCACTACTCTCCAGCATTTCACTCCCCAGTCAGTCCATACATCCAGGGTTGCCCCACCCAAGGTGCAGAATCCAGCAATTCCCTATCTTGGACTTCATACAGTTGGTTGTTGCCCACTCCTCTGATTTGTCCAGGTCTCTCTGMAGGGYCGCCGTGCCTTTGAGGGAGTCAGCAGCTCCTCCCAGGTYTGTATCATCTGCMARCTTGCCAGTATCCTTTTGAGTCCTGTGTCCAAGCCATGTATGAAGATGCTGAAGAAAACACAGGGCCTAAGACAGAGTCCTRTGGAACCCCACTAGTGACAAGTCTCCAGTCTGATGTCACCCAAWTCYCTATAAAGAACAAATTGCCCACCTATCACATGATGTGTTTATGCAGCCAAATGCTGGACATTTTGTCCAGAAGGATACTCTGAGAGACAGTAGGGAAASCTTTACTGAAAACCAAAAATATACRTGAACTGGCTTCCCATGTCCAATCCTCCTTCAACTGAGTTACTGTGTCATAAAAGGAAGTTAGGTTTCATAAGCTGGATTTTCCTGTCATGATGTCATGCTGCATGWGACTGATGACTGTGTTGTCCTTCAGGTGYTTTTTATTAACTCCCAGAACAATTGTCTCCATTATTTTACCAGGCACTGAATTGAGACTGACAGTTCTGTAATTTCCAGGGTCATCCCTCTTTCCCTTCTTGACAATTCTAATGTTTGCCAGCACAGAATTATGCATGTTTAATGACATTAATGAGTTGAACTAAAGTTTACACAAGAAGCCATCATTTCAACAAGAATTTAAGATCTGCATAGAGATAATTTCAGAAACGGAAATTTGAATATCCTTTTTGATGGAACTACATCAAACCTGGCCTGTCACTCTAAGATTTTTATTTTCCCTTCAGTTCAAAAAGTGACAAAAATAWGGGAGTTAGGAACTTCATTTTGCTTGTAGAGTCTGATCTTGCAACACCTACCTAAGTGTGTATAATCACATAAGTAGATTCCCTGCTTGTGAAAGAGCCTAAGGCCAGTCTGGTTTTGTCTGTGGTCTATAGTTAGATATCTTGTCTCTGATAAAGTCTCAGAATTCTCCTCAGGGCTCTGCTATCCTCTACTTTCAATGTGAGGCACTTCTGCAGACTAATRCACTTTGTCTGTTTACTAGAGCTCACTCAGTCTCTTGTCCAGAACTTCTTCAGTCTTCCATAGAATACAAATAAACTCTGCATTCATAACACCTTTCCCAAGGAGACCTACAAGTCTACCAGCTTTGCATGAAGAGACTTTCACTGTCAACTMTTCTCATCTTTCATTGATAATCACGCACTCTCTTCACTAAGCTGTTCAGTGAAATCATAGGCCTGTAAAATCTGTAAAGCTCTATGTTTTTCAAGCC